CCTGCCAGTGCAGAGGTTACAGAGCCCAGAGTGACACGAGAGCCACACGAGGGACGGGGTCTGGTGTCCCATTTCCTCCCAAAGGATCTTCCCACAGCACTGCCTGCAGTTTCAGTTCAAACACAGCATTTCTGATCGGGAATGTAACGCTCAGTGGCTGCTCCTTGAGCACCACCCTTCTTCCCACAGCCTCCTCATTTTAATATCATTAAATGGATTACTCTACACAACCTTAATTATTGCAGTATTTGCAAGGGAAGAAGTGAACTCTCAGTAGCCAGTTCCTGTCCCTCTGCAGATCAAAACTGGTTTCATAGCAAACCTGGAGTGAAATGGCACGAGAGTGCAGCACAAGGTGCTTCAGTGTAAAACCAGGTAGCAAGAGCTGAGCAGGCCCAGGTGTGTCCTGACTGATGCTCTGCTGTCACTGGGTCCCCTTCTCTTCAGAGGGGAGCTCAGAAAACAGGCATTAATTAACCAAATTAGGCTATCACAGGAAATAACAGGAAGCTTCGGATAATGAGCCATTTAGCTCGGAAGGGTTTCAGTCAGACATGTCAAACCAGCTCACAGAGGATGTCAACAGTCACACAGTCACACAGCCAACGAGCACAGCCAGCTGCAAAACAACCAGCAGACACCCTCAGTTTGTTACACCAGAAAGGCAGCTCGATGGAGCTCTCATAAATGCAGGCTGCTCCTTGCAAATAACAGCCTGGTACCCCTGAGGACAGAGACCAAATGTCACCTGTTTGGTGTAATTCTGGCAGCCAGAACCAGCCCCAGGTCACGTTCTTCCCACTGTCACAGGCAAAGCAGAGCTGTTATAACAGAGTCACCACATCAGCCCTGCTGCAGCTCAGGGCTGAAGGACACTGCCCTGGGTCAGGAGTGTCAGGAACTGCAGATTCTTGTAACTCCTTCCCTCCATCAGCAGTGGGACTGCCATAATTAAAGTGTATCTTCATCACATCTACTCTAATCCTCTCTCCTCGGTTCAACAGGTCTTCACTTAACCAACACAGATGTTTTCTTCACTCTAATATTCATGCTGGAAACTAAACTGCACCACTTGGGTTCCCACTTGGTTCTTGATTCCAAGAGTTTCTGAATGCTCCACAACGAAGGTTCAGCAATGGGAAATCAGAGTTTAGTCTCTGCCATGCCTTCCTCACCTCACAGGGGTGAGTAACTCACTGCTGCTCTGAACTGCAGGAGCCAACCACTCTGGGAAATTCTTACCCACAAAAACTGGGCCTCCCTCCTGCCATCCTTCACCTGCTCAGGGAGCACTGGCATGAACTCATCTTCATAACCTGATGCTCTATTTCACCATTTCCACTGAAACGTCCTCAGCTTGACTCTACCTTCCAGGACCTGAAGGGAGCCCAAGGGAAGGATGGAGAGGGACTGGTCACATCTCACACAAGGTTTAACATCTCAGCAAGACAGCCTGGACCAAGTAAGAGAGCTCAGCAAGATGAACAGGTCTTTTCAGAAAACTTTGGGACATCCTTACTGATCTCTGCCATTAGGTGTCATGTTTCCAGCAGCAGCAACTTTCCTAAAGTGCAAATACAAATGCCTACAGGAAAATCTGACCCTGGGATTTAGAAGAATCCTTTTAAGAAGATGCTTCCATTCAATTTCTGTTTAATTTCCAATTAACTATTTAATAAAAGAGTAAAAGAAAAATCAATAACTACTTCAGAGCTCAACATAAAATGAATTGAGGCTATACTTTAACCACCATCCTCACTACTTCATCTTCAAAAAGTAACCCAACACCCCTTCAAATCAAGGCCAAAAAATCCAAACACCAGCCTAGGACTTGACCAAGTTTTAAAAGTCATGTGTCCCTTGAATCTGCTTCTGCAGAATTAAATACACAAAGTTATTATAAGAAGTGATGATCAATATGGATGTGGCTCATCAGAAATTAAAAGAAAGTGATAAAATAGGAAGTCTTCCATATTACCCTAAAACCCCAAAGTTTTGATCAGGATCCACAGTCAGAGCTAGCTGAGCTGATTTTGGCAAGGTTGAAAGTAACACTGGATCAAGGATAATTCTGAACTTCAAACAGCTACACATAAAAAGCACTTCAAATATAAAGCCTAAAGGTTTGAACTTATGTATGTTCAAAAGATTCACTTTGTTTTCTCTAGCAAAACGGATAACATGTTCCTGTTGTCAGAGTATTAGGATTCCTCTTGAGGATGATTTTTCTAAGCCTGCAAAGTTGCACAGAAGCAATCTGCTCTCTAAACACTGAGCACAAGTTCAAAGTGCCACCGAGCGAGCTGTGCACGTGCAGGCTACACGAAAAAGCACTGCAATATAAAGTACAAACAAATGCTTGGAGTTGTTTATGCCCAGGACGGTGATTCAATATACAATTAAAACTTTAATGTTCAAGTACACGCTACACTCTTGCCATTTAATTACTTTTCAGTTTTTTTAAGAACAATCCTCGGGCTGGCTGAGCAGCCACGAAATGCATCACTAATAACCTCTGTCTGTACATGTGCAGCTCATGGTCCCCAATATAAACTGTCCCGATGAGCTGTGTAAACACGAGTCTCCAAATAAAAGCATTAACCTGTCACTGCACTTACACTGCGCGAGTAACGCAGCGCGTTTGGCAGAGATCCTCTGAGAACCTTCAGCAAAGCTACTTACCCTAAAAACAGCCGGGCCAGCGGCACGACACGTGATGGCAGCGACAGCTCAGCCCCTGGGGGACACTGCCGGGATGGGGGACACGGCTGGGCATGGGGGACACTGCTGGGGATGGGGGACACTGCCAGGCTGGGGGGACACTGCCAGGCTGAGGGGACAGCCAGGTTTCCTCAGCCCCACACACAGATGCAGCTGTGAGCTGGAGCCGCTCTGGAGGGATAACTCTGCTCCCCGAGAGCAAACACCACGCATGAAAACAGATTATTTTTAGAAGCGGTGCGAGCACAGCACTTCCTGCCGACTCCACCTTGAAGAACGACAGACGCTCTGTCACCCTCCATTCCAAAAGCAGCATTTCACAACTTCTGCTACCTGCCACAACAGAGAGAGGCAAGGGACAATCTGCCGAGAATGGCAAGTGACAATTCCCCAGCTTGTGACTTGGCACTAAGAACTTCTGTTGGAATATGTTGCCAGTCTTCACTCACATCAATAAATCGATGCCTTTTTTCCTGCCACAGGGATGCACAGAACATTAAATGTTTTTATTTATGACACTGATTTTCTCCATAGCAACCGGATGTGAACATGGCATTCCCAGCGAAATGAAGTCACTATAGCAACGTGATAATGATGTCAGAATAATCAGACAGCATTTCATACTTGTGAAATACATCGCTTCTGTGAATTCACTAAGTTGCAGAGACCACAAAAGCAAGAGTGCTCCATCTGGAACTTCCCTTTAATTTGCCTGCCTTTGGATAACTCCTCATTAAAGGCACAGAGCTTTACTAACGCGCCATTCTCTGCTTCTCCAAGCTTCCTCCATTACTTCCTGAAAGTCTCTCAGTTTCCCACATTAAAACCCTTTCAGCTCCAAAGATCTACTACACCAGGGAGAATTACTGACACACCATTTCAGCACGAAAAAAGCAATGACACAAATCACAACAGTGAAACATTTCACAGCAGACAGGCACTGTCAACTGAACAGCCGCTTTCCTCAACTCCTCAGATAATCTGGTGTCTCTTTACGGGGAGCAACACAACCACTCAGAGAGAATTACAATAGAAATTACAGAGTGCCGATACAATACTCCGAAGGCAGACAGGCGTTTTTAAGTTAAACAACTATTTTAAGAAATATTATCTCCCCTGTTAAGCTACCGAAAGGAAAAAACCCAGAGTTTTCATGGTTTGCCCTTCCTGTTTGCAGCTCTTTCCAAGCTGTGAGCAAAGCAAGACCCAGTTCCAGCTCTGTGTCAGTCGGAATTGACTCGCTGTGTCCAAACCCCAACCCTCCCACTGAGGAAGCTCCGCAGGAATCCCTGCACCAAACCCACACGTTCTGCACCTCAAATATCGCAAGCAAAGTCACCAATTAACGAGAAGTACCTAAACACCGAAGTTTCCCTGCACAGAGAACCGTTTCTCTTTAAAGCAACCGAAGGAAGTGCAAGAAACCTTTTTAGAGCTGTGGTGGTCTGAGACAACGAGTCCCTGGGAGCGGAGGATGAGGATGGGCCGGAGGATGAGGATGGGCCAGCCCGCTGCTCCACGTGGCTCCCCCTTGGCTTGTCCCACCTGCCCAAACCTCCTGCCGCCCATCCTGGCAAAGCGGAGCGGCTCCTGGAGCCTGTCCCCGTCCTGCCATCCCCTGTACCCCTATCCTGCCATCTCCTGTCCTGCCGTGCCCCTGTCCCCCGTCCTGCCATCCCCTGTACCCCTATCCTGCCATCTCCTGGTCTGCCGTGCCCCTGTCCCCCGTCCTGCCATCCCCTGCCCCTGTCCTGCCGTGTCCCTGTCCCCCATTCTGCCATCTCCCCTTTGCCATCCCACCCCCCGTGTCCCAGCCCCGCTGTCCCTCGGGCCCCGCTCGAGTCCCCGTTCCCGTCGCCCGGCGGGAGCAGCGAGCGAGCACGGGACGCCCCGAGCACACCCGACCCTGCCACCAGCGCACGAATTCCGCGCGTGTGCGAGCCCGGCTGGCACAGCCCGCCCGGTGCCGCACAGGATGGATGTGGATGTCCGGCAGGGCAGGACGGACCGGCCGGGGCAGGACGAGAACGAGAACGGGGCCAGGGCCGGAGCCGGGCCGAGCCGCCTCCCCCTCGCTGCCGGCCGGGCCGCGGGCAGGGAGCGCCCGGCGCTGACACCGCCCGGCCCCGCCGGACTCCGGGCCGGCCCCTGCCCCGCTCCGCCCGCCCCGCGGCCTCGCCAGGCCCCGCCGGGACAGCCGGACCCGCCGCTCCCCAGCCCGGCCCGGCCCCGGCCCCGGCCCCGGCCCCGGCCCCGGCCCCGCCGCGCTCCCCGCTCACCGCCGCCCCCGGGCCGCCCCCGCCGCCGCTCGGCTCCCCCGGAGCGGGCTCGGAGCTCGGGGCTCGGAGCTCGGGGCTCGGCTCCTGCCGCTGCCGCTGCTGCTGCTCTGCGCGGCGGCGGCGCCGCGTCCGCTCCGCCCTGCGCGGCCCGGGGAGGAGCCAGAGCGGCGGGCGGGGACGGACGGACGGACGGACGGGCTCCGCAAAAGTTCCGGGAGGGCCGGGGCAGGTGCGGGGCTGCGGCGGGACGGGCTCCGAGTGTGCGGGGAGTGCGCGTCCAGCGGGGCTGGGCACGGAGCGGGGCTGGGCACGGAGCGGGGCTGGGCACGGAGCGGGGCTCCGCGGGCTCTGTTCCGTGTGTGCGGGGAATGCGCATCCAGCGGGGCTGGGAAGGGGCTCAGCCTGGAGAAAAGGGGCATCGGGGGCAATTTCTGGCTCTGCACAACTCCCTGACAGGAGGGACAGCCAGGGCGGATTTGGGATCTGGGAACAGGAGGAGAGGGAGCGGGCTCAGGCTGGGCCAGGGGAGGCTCAGGGTGGAATTTCCCCGTGGGAAGGGTGGGCAGAGAGCAGGGACCGGTGGTGACAGGGCTGAGGCTGTTTCCGTACGGAGATGATGCTGCACCGGTCACACGGGACACGACAAGAGTCACCAAGAGGTTCCCGAGCCCCGCCACACCACAGCGCTTCACCCCTTAAAAAGCTTTTCTCGAAACACAGCACTTCAAAGTTTGTTTATTGTGAACATAATTTGTTTGTTTCTTCAGAAAAGCATGAAATTAAAGAGCTGCAGCATTGGAGTGAAATACACATGAAAGCGACAAGAAACAGACGGAGCGCGGGAAGGGGAAATGGCACAGAAAAGTCGTGCCCGCGTTTGTCACTCACTGAGCGTTTGTAAACTGCAGCAGCCACACAGGGACGATCAGGTGACAAGTCCAGCACAGTCACTGATCTGGGAGATCACTTCATTAGCCCCGACTTAAACTATAATTCAGCTCTAAACTATACACTCCAGAAAAGCTAATGTCAACAGTCAATAAATTCCAGGGGCTTGTTTTCCTCGTTCAGAATGTACAAATACCCCAGGAGGAGCTGTAGGTGCTGACATGGCTGCAATGCCTGGCTCTCCATGAGCAGAGGGATCTCTGGTGTTTCCCAGCACTGTCACCTCCTCACATCACCAGGGAACGCGAGGGCTGCAGCCGCTGTCCCTGGATGCTCCAGGGGAGGCTGCAGGGATGTGCCAGAGGCAGCAGCAGCACACCCACGGGCCTCCCCACGCTCCTCCATCACCACCTGCAAAACTTCAGGGACACGAGCACATTTGTTGAGGTCTGAGGCTACAGCAACAATATTTTAGCAGCCATGCCGCCTTTCATCCAGGACTCCAACAAAAATGCTAAATATTACTTGTCTGGCTGTACAGATGAGAAAACAGAGATTAAATGACTTATCCAAAATCCCCAGTAAGTGAGAGGCCAGGAGACACACAGAGCTCAGAGTCCCCACTCACCCTCTGTAATTGAGGCTGCTCCAGTTCTCCCTCTCACAGCTTTGTGTGTGCAGCAGAAATAAATACACAGCGCAGAATTTTGCTCCCAGGTACAACTTGTGGCTGCTGATACTGATCTGTAAATCCCTGTTTTTATGGCTTAAGAGGTGTCTCCTTCCCTGGGGACCACCGTGCTGGGAGCAGGTGAATCACTGCTTGATTGGGATCGCTGGAGGCAGGGCGATGTCAGCAGAGGATTTCCACACTTTCTGTCTCTGCAGGAAGGACTTGGCAGCCTCAGCAGTGAGAGGCTCAGGCACAGCGGGACAGTCGGGGTGGCAAAAGCATCTGCCTCGAAGGATGCTCAGCACTCGTGGTTGAGCAACTTGTTTCTGCAGAGTACAAACGTTTATCGTGAAATCTGTGACCTTAGGAAGTTACTAGCTCAATGTTTAAAAACATGAGGTTGTGTCTGGAAAACAGGCAGGGACAAAATATCAGCAGTAACTTCTGTTTTAAAAGCTGTGCAAAAATATATTCCTGTGGCAGAAACTGCGAGGGATGCAATTCCTTCAGCAGGCTCAGTGTACATGGAAATGTTTGAGCATACTGCAAGGCTTTACCCCAAATTTCCTTTGAAATTAAAGCTTTAACAAACTTTGCCCCAAATACCAACACATTTGCAGCTTTTCCCACTGAGTGCTGCCTGAAGAGTTCTATTGTATCCAAGGAATCCCACACTTATCTATTTCATGGAGCATCTCCCAAGTTTCAAAACAATGAGGGTCCAGGCACACTGAGGGCCTGAGTCAGCAGGACAGAGCTCCTGGCTGATGTGTGTTCTGGTTGACTTTTTCCCCCATTTTCTGCAGGTTTGAGTGGAAGCTGATAACATTTATTGCTGAGTCAGGCTTTGCAAGTACATGAAATTAGATCTGGATGGATGTGAACCTGGTTATGAAATGATTAGAAGAGGAGAAGCAGGTCCAAGTTCAGCTGAAATCAGAGGCACTTTTCCTAGTGACTCCAGCAGGGAATAAATCTGGATCTCAGTTTCTCCCAGCCCCTCAGAGCTCTTTCACTCCCTGCTGCTGCTCCCTGTCAGCAGGGTGTAACATGCCATGCCCACACCTCACAGTGCATTTCCCCATTTCTAACAAATCCCATTATTCCAGGGAGTCTCCAGGGTGACTGACAGTGCTGACAACCCCAAAGCAGGGATTCCCACTCACACCAGCTCAGCAGTAACACAAGGTTATGAGGCAAAGAGAATCGATTCTCTGCATCCTGTCACACACAGGACACAGCCTGGAATGTCCTGGACACAGCCCAAGAAACCCAGTGACCCTTCACACTGCAGTTTTATTAAAAAAGGTGTAATTTATCACAGCCCATCTATTTATACACAACAGGAGTTGCCACAATAACTTCTTTTCCAAGCTCTGCAGTCTAAGTCCATTCATATTAAATTATACTGAGATTTCACACCCCTTTTCCTGCTATATGGCAGCAGTTAAAGAATGAAAGGAAAACATTTATTTGTCCCAGAACCTGCAACAGGATTGCAATTTTTCACCTGCTTTTGCAGCTGAGTTGCAGAGGTTGCACTGAGTCTTCCACGGGCAAATTAATATGAAGCAGAATCCCTCAGGACTTCTTTTATTCCAAAATAATAATTGCCCAATTGGATAAATTATCACAAGTTCAGCTGATGTAAATACGTAGCTAAGGCCCATTTGCTGATTTAATGAAATTCAGAAACAATTTGTGATTGCATAATGACCTTGGATTGCTGGCTGATAGAATCAGAGGGCTGGAGAGCAAATGAAAGTGGGTTTGACACCATGCAGGATAATAACACATTATCCTTTTGCTCTGGCTGTCAGAAGTGAAGGTGCTGACTGCATCCTGGTCCTGTCCTGAGTTCTGAACTTAAACTGCACAAGAAAGGAACTGGTGCTCTCTAAACTTAAAGTAATCATTCTTTAAACTGAAGAATAAAGAAAAAAATGCTCACTCCAAAGACCTCAACACAAGCCTTTGAAGTGCAAGCATAATATTTTCTTTACAGATGAGATTGCAGTGTATCATTATGAATAATGACTTAATGATGTAATTAACAGTGAGCACCCACATGGCTGCCAGCAGCTGCCCTGGCTGAGGGTCAGGGAGCTCACACCTCACCTCCCACGCTGTCCTGGCCAGGGATCCGACCAGCAAGGATCATTTAACACAGCCCAGCACCCCGAGCTCTGTAGGGGCAGGAGAGCTCCAAACCCTGAGCCTGTTCCCAGAGCAGACAGGACCAGATTCCTGAAACCCCATCCCTGCTGCCACTGCACACCCGGTTTGTTCTGTGCCCACAGTCTGGCTGGGTGAAGCTACCAGGTAATTAGGCAGATGAGCTGGGAGCTGTGGGATCCGGGGAGGGATGGCCGATCCCAAGGCAGGGCTCTGCCAAACTCCAGCAGGTTTCCAGAGGGAAAGCCGGGTTTGCCATGCACTGCAGCCCTGGGGCCCCAGTGCTGGGGCCATGCTCCTCCCCCAGCTCATCCAGTGCCCTGAAGTCCCTTGGAATCACAGGACAGACTGGTCCCAGTGCAAACACAGAGGGGTTTTCCAGCTTTGAGCCCCAGGGATGTGAGCACGGGGGCTGCAGAACGGGTGAGGAGGCAGGAACAAGGCTTCCTCTACCACAAACACCAGCAAGCCTGGGCTTTCCTCCTGTGTGACTGTCACTCTGAAAGGGACATGGGATGGAGGCTCCTTATGCAGCTTCCCAAACCTTTCCCTGCCTTGTGAGTGTGCCAGAAAAGCCTGGAGTCAGTCTGGTATCTGCAGTTCTGCAGAGTCAGGAGAAAGGCAGAGACTGATTGGGGTTTCTGGTTCAAGGGTTTTATAAATACCATCAGAGGCTGTGAAACTCACTGGGGAAGGAAGCACAAATCCCACTTCCCGTGCAGGGAGCTGCCAATGATCAGGCACAGGGATTCCCACGTCTCAGCCCAACAGCAGCACAATGGGCTGCTCTTACTCTTTGCTTTCTGCAGGCAAGAATTTCCTTGTCTGAAGCTGCAGCAGCCTGGAATTTCCTAGCAGAGGAGAAGGATTGGATGCTTAGGTCGGGATCTGACTCAGCAGTTCATACTGAGACACATTTGTAGGATATTTCCCAAATCCCCTGGGTAGGGATGGGTGGCACCTCCACAGAGACCCCCAAAACACAGCCCAGGGCCTGATTCTGCCCTCACTAACCCCAGCCACAGTTTGCAACGTGGCTTGGGCAAATCTGCTGGGTTTGCACAGGAAAAAGCCAAAGCAGAGGGGACTGGAGCTCCCCGAGCCCTGCACAGCCACAGAGAGAGGCCCAGGCTCAAGCAGGAAGAACTGGGACAGCAGAGCTCGACATGAGCAGGAACAAGGGCTACTCTTCCAGCTGCCAAACTGTGCTCACTGCTCAAAGGCAGCTGCAACCACACATTTTCTATTACCCAACTTCTTCCTGTGCAGCCCAGCACTCGCTCACCCCATGGCCGGGTGGTGCCTCCTCCAGCTCTGGGTACCAAACCTCCTCCTCCTCCTCCTCCTCCTCCTCTGCCAGCTGCTCTCACCCATTTCTAGGGCAGCTGCAGCTGCCATTT